CTCCTCAAGCATGGGTACAAGATGCTTCTTTGCGCGCGCCATGCCGCGGGGTAAGGGCGAGATCATGGGACCCACGAGTCTGAATTCAATTGATATGAATTAATATTCATATTAAAGCACGGGCTGGGTACGTATTACGGAGCGCGACTCACGGCTTGAGCACGTTGGGGAAGAGGTTGATGACCCTTGCGCGCTTCATCACGTCTTCGGCAAACTCGATGTTGAGGTCCCTGTAGTCGGTATTACGGCCTGCAGCGGACGTTAGCCGCATGTATTTCAGAGGTTGAAGGGGAAGGTGCACTGACAGAGTTCGACTCCGACAAACAATCTGTTGCTCGTGCAGGAGACGATGCGGAGGACAGTTTTGAGCGCCGGGACGGCAACCCAGTCTATCGATGCGCGCATCAGTCAGCTAAATTGGTAGGATGGATGTAGGTGGAGGATTTACTGCTCGTATCGAAGTCGGAGTGCGGATTCAGAAGCTTCCGAATCTCGTCCTGGAACGCAGTGACGATCTCGTCGTGTATATCTGCGAACCGCGCACCGATGCTCCGCGTGAGGGACGACTGGATGACGCGGACATGGTACGGGTTCGTGACGAAGCCGGCGCCGAGGGTGTAGTTCACCGCGAGGGTCTGAAACAGTAAATATCAAAATTTTAATTTTGGATCGACGTTTTGGGGTAGGTTTATACGCACGGCACCGAACCCATGCGCGGCGGAGAGGTCATCGTCGCGCGCCTTGCGGAGATCGTTAATCAATTCGGGTGAACTGAGAACGACGACCCATTTATCAAGGTAGGGGACACGGAAGATGGATTTGTGCTGTCCCTCGTCTTAGCATATGACAAAAAATACGAGATGAAGGCGGAGGAGTATAAGTACCCTTGTAATATCCGGCTTGAATAATTTTTGGCGCGTTGGAAAGATAATTGAGGGCCCCACGGTAAGAGGAGAGTGGGCCAGAAGGGCCCATGGCTGGGATAGTGTGCACTGCACCTGAAATAAAATGAATGGGTTGAAAACCGAGAACACAGAAAAGGCCGGCATACAGATGAGCGTTTAAATTCCAAATAGAGCAGAACGACAATGCTGACAGAGAGGGCGAGGACGGTGGTGAAGCTTGGAGTAGCTTCCATTGTAGCTGTAGACGGTATTTGTTTTGTGATGAGTCATGCAGTTGCCATCGTCTTTATAGCTCTGTGGACGGCAAGGTGTTAACGTGAAAGCAATGTGAAGAGTGGAAAGCATGAATAAGACAATTCTGAGCATGAATCTCCCAGAAACGACGCCATAGGAAACAACCTTTCCGTCTGGAGCAAGTCGGCCCCGATCGCACCTCGCATGTCCGACGACCTGGACTCCTTGTCCACCGGTGTCCGCAAAAAACGACACAATAGGAAGCAACCTTTCCGGCTGGAGCAAGTCGGCCCCGATCGCACTCGCATTGTCCGACAATCTGGACTCCTTGTCCACCGGTGTCCGCAAAGACCGAAGGAACCGCGCACTATGTCAATGGGTTTAGGTCAGCGCTTGGGTTGTGTTGAAAGGCTATGCAGATGGACGTTTGAATTCGTAGGTGGGGGACCACAGCCCCGGCGCACAAGAGACCAGTTGCCCTCTTGTAAATTCAAGGAATCCGAATTCGTGAGCATAATTGGCTCCAAGCTTGACCTGAGAGTCCAAATATTATATACAAGACATGCCGGAGCTTCACTCCGGCGGCCAGTTCCCTCAGCAGCAATGGGAGACTGGTTCACGATGATGAAGCAGCACTACCCACATCTAAGTAGCTCTCTGATCTCTTTTGCTCTAGCTCCCAGGTTACTTTACATTCCCGTCTCTGAAACAACTGCGTCCCCTCAGAGGAAAAAGCGGCCATTCAAAGGGCTTAATTTCGCCGGAAATGCCCTCAGATTGCCGAGGATTTTACTAGCTCGGCCCGTTCAGTCTTAATCGAGTTTTAATCGGTCTCCCGACCGATTTGCCCTCACCCTTGGAATGGCGGGGTTGCCCCTCTGGATGACGTTTTTGAGTTACCCGTGTTCATTACGACCTAGTACCGGTGGTCTTGTTTGCCGCGCGATGATGTGGAGGGCTCGTGGCATGGAAATTGCTACTGAGCTTCCAAATTCCACACCCGGGGCTCCATACAGTGTCACTCCGGAGCCCCTCGTCGAGTTCACGTAATTATCTGCTATAGTGTAGCCCGGAATCCGTGGCAGCCCCCGTCGTAGCTTGTGAATCGCGCTCCTCCAGGTTCCTCTCTTTTACTATCTCTGAATTATGTCGACTATTTCTGGCGACTATCATAGCTGTTGTTGTGCTTTCTGGAGCACCATATCACCACATCAGCCACCGACGTTCCAAAAATTTCGCCCCCCCTTCCAGCTTCACGCTACGCTGCTCAAATCAGACTAGTACTCAGTTCGTATTCTTGAAAGCCTCATATTAATATGTTCTACTGACACACATATATTTCCTCTCGTCGAATTCGGGCTACTCCATATTTTCCGCTCTTGTTATCACAAGACAAGAAAAGGGCCGGTAATCTCGGTTCAGTTCATGTCTTTGACGAAGTCGATGATCTCTTTCTAGCCCATATGCTCCTTAATTCCCCGAGCAGTCTTTCACAGTGAAATCGCTCGCGATATTTTGCTGCCGGTTCCCATTCCGCCAACATTCCTGGTTGCCTATGAACGATATCAAGTCGCACGAAGCTTTTGCCTATTCGGGTGACCATCTTTATAAACAGGCGCATTTCTCTGGCCGAATCAATTCCAGCAAGATCTCTTCCCGAATTGCTCTCAGCATAAGGGCGAATCGAGAAAGTTTCTAACAAATCCAACCGCGCCAGTGGGTGGTAATATGGGATTGGCACCAATCGCGTTCGGCACACTTTGAGGTAAACTGCGCCGGAGACATCTCTTGGAGAGTTCAATGTTAGCTGATTTCGCACCTCGGATTTTCTTCAGTCAACGTGTTTTGTTGACGCGAAGGACTTTGAAAGCGTCGAATCTTCTCTCACGTTGGATCGCTTCAAGTTCTTCGATGCGACTACAGAGAGCCTCACCCCCGAGGCTATGAGCTGAATTATTGAGTACGTGGCACAATTATCCGATCCCGCATCACTGTCTCTTTCAACATCCCACCCTCAGCGTTGGCTACATTACTGTGGGCCCTCCCAACGTCGTTCTGAAATGCCCGCATGAAATTCACGCATCCCTTTTCGGATGGTTTGTTCGCTCCCGGGGGCATCAGAAAATAATATAATGAAAGTGAGTTTTCCTTCTTGCTTTCCACCGTCGTTAGCAAGTTCGTCCTCCACTAAGGTTGATCGTTAGACAGCGGTCTCAGGTCTGTGTCAACATCGCAAAATGCTCCCCTGGCTTGCTTCGTCCTGCTTCGTCGTCGGCCGCAGTGCTCGTCGTTCGGTTTATTCCGAGAATTACTTTATTTCCGATAGCCGGCTGTACTGCAATTCAATTGCTCTGTGGTCTGGTAAAACTAAGGAGGATAGTAATCGCTGCTCCGAAATTTAATCACTACCCAAGGTATTTATACTCACGATTCCCCTTCCTTCCGCTGCTCCCAAACCCCCTTGCAAAAAAACATATACATTCGGTTGCAACACGCTAAAATCCGTAGCATAGCAAAACTCTGACTCGTGCTCCACTCAGTTTTGAATATTCAAGGATTTCCTTGGAGTGGTGGCCCGAGATGCCCGAAGTGGGTTGAAACATTCTGAATACTGAGAGAAGGCAGAAAATATGACTGTCACTCGTGTCGGAGCTTCAGACGAGGCCGCTTTTCGGTATGTGCGGACTTTGAATATCAAATGATTAGTCTGCGCGCTTGTTGACTGAGGGCTCTGACAGGCACAGCCAAGGCACAGCTCTTGCACGCGATATTAGGTCTCTTCATGACCACCAACACCCCTACAGCCGAGAGAAGAAAGCTTGTCGTCGTGGGTGACAGGCGAACTTATATTCTGCGCAGGCGTGGTCCACACCGCTATCGAGGCTATAGTATGCTGCCCACTTCGTCTCTTTCTTTCTGCAGAAGGCCCGGGTTCGAATTCGGGGGCGGGCCTCGGTACTCCTGGGTTTGATTCGTTTTGTTCTTTTCGTGGCGTTACGATTTTTTTGGTCCATCTCGGCCCATTCGACTTCTGCTCGCTTTTCCTCTGTGTCCGATTTTCTTTCATTTTGATGTGGTCACCCGTCTTTTGGCTGCATTGAGAGTTGCCGAATCACCAAGCTAACGGCAACGCGAGCGCACACCGACCGAACGATGAATTGCAATTAGATTACAGCAACAGTAATAATGTACAGCCATATTACTAATTCAGGATCCGTATTACAAGTACCCACACCGCGCTATATATCCCGAACCATGACCGTATTACTTCCTTGAAACCGAGTATACGCCATCCTCCCATACAGAGAGACCATTCATGAGCACGTCGCTTGAGAAGGTACTTGCCAAGCTCCGTCGCGAGGGTGGCTTGCGGCCAGGCAGAGCGTGTATATACGCACTGGATGGCGAGAAGTGAGTTCTGCATGCCCATTCTATAAGCAGCCCAGAGCCAGTAACTAGGAACGCGGACGCAACGACCAGGAACGGCCAGCCGATGATGACGGGATTGTTGCGAGACGTGCTAGTGTCCGAATCTGCCCACAATTGACCACGACACCAACAGGTCAATGCCCGAGATGGCATCGGAGTAGGTTCCGAGCCGCCCAAATCGCCAAGGTGTGAGTTCGCGCTCAAGATGATTGCTTTTTGTTGCATATTGATACCCGTATCTCAGCAAAAATTCGAGGCTTACCATTGGTGGTTCATCCAACTTGCGAGTGATGAGGGAAGAGGACAAAATGGAGTGACGAGTCTCGGACTTTGAAATTTGATCTAGATCAGCCATTATTTCTTCGGGCCGACATCAGTTCAACTATAAATATCATTTGGAGGGAGCTGCTTCGGTTCCATGCTGTTAACAACGACCTGTTGGCACAGTTGGTAGTGTGCCCGCTGAAATATGCCCAGGCTAAATGAGTCTTGGCAGGAGTCCCCAGTTCAACTCTGGGACAGGTCATATCCATTTTCCGTGTATTTCTTTTTTACTTTGTGCTTTTCTTCTCCAGTGCATATAAACGTTCATGAGAAAAACACCTTCTATTTGGTGCTTCAACTCGCAAACATAACGCGTATGTGCGCATCCTCAATCTTCTGCGCGAGGGTCGGATTTGGTTTACTTTAAGGTGTCAATTTTCTCTCTCTCATTCGTTCGTCCATCCATCTGCACTGCACCGCGGGGGACCTATTTCTGCAAACTGAAACTGTGTCGGAATCCTATAAATATTTTTGTTGTCCTCGCCATTCACTCATTCAATTTGATCGATCTGTTCCATAAAGTTCCACCATCGGAATATTTCAAACTCGGAGGACTCGCTTTGGCTCCGGGATGGGTGATTCTCTTTCAAAATTTATTTCCGGCCTAAATTTATTCACTTTGTCAAATGCCTCAATGCCCAGCCTGTAGTCGATTTCAATTAAGATAACAGAAGGACCTGTTGGCGTACTCGGCAACGCGCCCACAATAAATAACTCACTGCGTTCCGAGGCTCTGTCGGCAAGATATGCCGGACAAAGGCTGACGTGTGCCGACATGGGTCAGCACCGCTGCCGATGCGATCGGCACGCAGTGCTGACCTAGGTCGGCACACGTCAGCATTGTCGGCACCAGTGCTGACCCATGTCGGCACACGTCAGCCTTTGTCCGGCATATCTTGCCGGGCACGAGATATAGAATCGGAAACTGATTGGGGGGCCAAAAGTTTCTGTTTGAGGTGTTTTGTAGAGGTGAAATTCGCGTGATAGCGGCGCGAGCCTCAAACATAATAACACAATTAGGTTAAATCAGAAATCTGTTTCGGTGAATTCGACGCGCTGAGGCTTCGGAATCTCTCCAATGAGGGATGAGATGTCTGAGGTAGGGCGAGGAGGGGTGGGAGACAGCACGTACGAAGGGGAATCAGAAATCGGGGAAGAACAAACCGGACAAGGGCTTACAAAATATTGGCCATGGGGAGGGATGACGAAATGTAAACGCTACAACTTCAAGCTCGGCATACAAATAAATAAATAAACGCGACGCGCGAAATAAATAAAAGACACGACACGACACGTGAATTCTCCCTTGCAAAAAAACCAGCCAGCCAGCCAGCCAACAACGAAGAAATTAAAAAATAAAACGACTCAGGGGCTCAACCAACTGCTCCCTCGTCCGCATCGTGGATTATGTATGTATCTGGGATGGGTCATTCATATGTTGTCTGGAAGCATTTTCGTTCCGGGTTTGAATTCAAAGTCCAGCCTATATTCAGGTTCCAGGAAAATCGTATTGGTGCAGATGGCAGCGCACCCACAATAAACTGATTGTTCCTAGTGAGGTTATGTGGGAGGCCCCAGTTCGACTCCGGGCTGGGGTCGAACCACATGTCGTGTTTTTTGTCCCTTGTTCAGAACCGTCCACTAGATATCGTAGTTCAATTCACATACCAGGAAGACCTGTTGGCGCACTCCGCAACAAACTTCATATTTGGTCGAAGAATTACATATGTGGAAGACCCCAGATTCGATTCCAGCCTGGGCAATTTTTTTTTCGGGGGGGGGGGGTCATTTCATTTTCATGTAAATCCAAAGCTATGTATACTATTGCAGTTTAATTATGATACCAGAACGATCTGTTGGCGCACGCGGTAGCGCACCCACAGTAACTTTGATGTCTTGGCAGAAGTTACATATGTGCGAGACCCCAGTTCGACTCTGGGATGGATCATAATATTTCTTCATAATTCTGTTTTTGTTCCCCGCCGTTTCATTTTAATTCAGAAAGGGAGCACTTGGGCGGGACGATGCAGAAGCCTTCTCTGAGACGTCCCGGGCGTTAAACCTGACTTGCGGGATGTGACCCACCGCACACCATCATCGTACGCTGCAGCACTGGGCCGAACCAAGATTGTTGAGTTTCTCCTCGAGCGGGGTGGTTTGGACGTCAATTCTTGCGATCATTCTGAACGCACTCCCCTTTCCTACGCCGCGGAAAACAGATGTTTTGCCGTGGCCGTGCTTTTGCTAAAGGACTCGAAGACCCGTCCTGATTTGGCCACGAAGCTCGGTGAACGCACCCCGTTGTCGTACGCGGCAGCACAAGGCCGACGGGAGGTTGTCGAAAGTCTCCTCCAGATGAGTGTCGATGTCAATTCCAAGGACTGTGTTGGACGCACCTCTCTCACATATGCGGCTGGGTGGACGTCGTCGCCTTGATACTCAGGCTGAGACGCTCCGATGTGAATCCCAACACTGAATGTAAGGATGGTCGGACACCACTTTCGTATGCAGCTCAGTCCGCACATATTGTGGTGGTGGAGGTTCTCTTACAGTGCCCAGTTGCCCAGCTTGACTTGGCGGATAAACGAAGTCCTCAGGCTTAGGACGGTGGACGTACATCATTGTCGTTCGCGGCGGAACAGGGCCGACGCGAGGTTGTGGAACATCCTCTCCAGAAGGGCGTCGATATCAACTCTCGGGACGGTGATGGGCACACCCCGCTCTCGCACGCGGCCAAAAACAATCGGGTGGAAATTGCCGCACTGCTAAAACGTTTCGATGTAAGTTCCAACTCTCAAGCGAAGATGGTCGGACACCACTTTCGTATGCAGCTCAATCCGGACACTCTGCCGTCGTGAATGTTCTCCTCATGTTCCAGCACATTCTCCCGGACTTGGCGGATGAACCAGGTACAAGCATGAACACTCTTCTGGATGATCTCAGGAACAAGGCGCAAGGTGGACGTACTCCGTTGTCGTATGCCGCACAAGGGGGTCACGTCGATGTTATCAAACTTCTGTTGCGGAGTCGTGTGGACGTTAACTCGAGAGACCGCATTGGACACACACCACTATCATATGCGGCTGAAGGAATCGAGCAGCTGTTTGTGCCATGTGGACTCGTAACCAGTCTGTAACCAAAAGTTGCCGAAATATGTGGCAATCGACTCGAACCAGTCGTTACTTTAAATTGATCAAAGACAATCGTTTGATCAAAGATGTAGCGACTGGAACAATTTAACCGTAACCGAGTACGGTCGGAGATTGCCGAGGATAATAAAATATCTTAGCCAAAATTTCGACGACTCCAGGACCAAGTTCCTCGTTCCACAAATCTAAAGAGGCAGTTTTGTAGTGCCTCAAATTCTAAGGCTCGTGATGTTTTTGAATTTCCGAGTAAATTAAATTTGAACGCGTAAAATTCGGTTTTAACTTTTAGGGGCTACACAACGAGGCCTTCGATTTCCACATCCTCTGGGCCTACCATGCCATTTTCACGCACCCGCGAGGACTCTGATGTCGACTACGCCCCTCCTGCGTCGAAACGCCGCAAGAAGGCGCCGCCTATCATCACTGAGAGGGCAGTCAGCATGCCGCCCAGCTCCCCTGGCCCTCCAGTTCACACTCACGACAGCCCCGAACCTGTGACACCAGAGGCGGAACGACCACTCCTACCACTACCTCCTCTTCCTGCTCTTTTCCCGGACCCCTATGGTTCTCCGCTGCGTGCAAGCACGACAAATTTCCCAGAAACACGTCACCGTGGGCAATCTATTGAGCCGCCAGCTTCATCCCCGATGTCGGTCATGAATTTGACCCCCGTGAAGCCCAAGCCCGTGAAGCGAAGGCCAGGTCGACCCCAGCATTCTCTGGAGACCCACATACTCCACTCGACACTTCGGCATCTCCGTGGGTCAGGGCAGTCGACACCGGCGCAGCAAGAGGAGTTCCGTTGTGCAAGCGAAACTCTGCAGCGTAAACGTGCTGCGAGTGCTGAGCGCAGAACTGCAGCCCTCAAAGAAGAGGTTGAGGCTGCGGAGCGTGTTGCCAAAGAGGAAGAGGAGAAAGCGGCGGCCGAAAAAGTTGCCCTACATGCACAAAAGACTCGCGATGCCCAGCAAGTCCTCGCAGACGTTACCGCCTCAACCGAGGACGGGGGCTACAACTTCAAGGACCTAGATGAATTCTTTTCAGCAATTTTTCGCACTGGCGGGGATTACCAAGCGTCAGCAAATCTGACCCGCTACGTCCACAGCCATGGAGCGCAACACGCCAAAGCCATGTTTGCACGTTCAGCACCGGCGCGAGACGAGTATATCGACGGCGAGCTGGCCGAGATTTTCCAGAAAGAAGGCCGCGCTATTCAGGATATCCTGACACGCAACTCTACGACCACAGTGACCGACCTCTTGAAACAATTCTCCATGGACAAGCTGGCGGCGCAGATTCAAGAAGCGGCTCCAAAGCTATGGATGGCCTTAGTGGTGCTAACTATGCCGGACGAGTCGACACGTCGAGAGATCAGCGGCGAGCCTCGGAGGAACAAGGGCCTGGTACGTTATCATTCCGTGCACTCACATTGACATGTCTGACCATCCGGCGACAGGTTTTCACAACGATCTGCGCCCTTATTAGCATACTGCGCTCACAGCAAGCCAATAACTTCCAGCTCGTCATCGGCCTATTTCTCCTAGGCTCCGGGGCGTCAAAGCGAGAAATGGAGGTCCTTGCACATGCTGGATTGTCGATATCCTATGGAAGCATCACCAACCATGTCAAGAAGCTGTCGAAGGAGGGATTGGCGAACATCCGGGAGCTGGTGAAGACATGCATGGTTCAGATTGTGTGGGACAACCTAAACATTGCATTCCGCATCGCTTCCGAGCGCCTTGACTCAAAGAATCATTTTGATAACGGGACAACGGCGACTGTCATACCCTCCTTCGATCCGACAACGGGAGGAAGGGTGCCCCACGGGACTATTCCCCTTTCGATGAAGCCGCCGCGTGAGCAGACACTCCCCGTCCTCGACTGGTCCGAGGAGGATGTGCTCCCTTCGCCCGAGAATGCCGAGCAGCTCTCGACAAGCTGTTACTGGCTTTTTCAAAGTCTTGCACTGGACCATATTGCTGGCCTGAAACGACTCAGGCAGGATTTCCGCGAGTGCCCTGTAGTCAACCAGATCCCGCTTCACAAAACGGAA